GAAGAAGTGGCGGTGGAAAACCCTTTGTCCAGGGGTGGACACACACACACACACACGTTTTGATGGCCTCCAACCTACTAGCTCTGACACGCGTTCCGAAGCGATACCGTTCCCGCGTTCCGAAGCGAACTATTTTCTGCGTTCCGAAGCGACTCCCTCGCCATTCCTGGAGGTCTGGCGATCCAACTACATCGTCTGCCCCAAAGAAAAGAAACCGTCCTCTCCCAGTCCCTCTTTCTTTCTACTGTGTTGAGCGGATACTATAATGAGTCTTCCCACCCAGCTTTTACTCTGGGAGGGGGCCTATGAACAGCAGGATGGAAGGATGTCTGGCCTTTGTAGATGAAGAGCAAGGCGTCCCACACTTGGTTCAAGAAGTCCACAGCACCTGCACCAGCTGTGGAGCAAACTTGTTGTAAGGAAAAAAGTGCATATCATGGAAAAGTAGAGCCGCCCCCCAAGAAAAAAAGAAACGGATATGTCCGGTGCAGGCAAGGAGCTGATCCTGTTGCCCCCAGCGGGCCTTTGGCCGGGCAAGGTCACCTGAGCCGAGGACAAGGTGTCTGAACGGCCTGGCCTCTCTCTGTCTCGCTTGCCAGATTCTCGGAGAAATTGCTCACAAAGAATACGCATGTGAAGCAAGCTGCCAGAGCCATCTCGGGGTTTCCTTCAGCTCTGCGCCAGGCCTTTCCAAGCTCCTCCGTCTGCACCCACACTAGCACACATGCCCCAACGGCGACCACTCGGAGGTCAAAATTGCGAGCTGATCAAGATGTTGCACAAATGTTGAAATGCTTACAGAAACGTTGGATGGCCCAAATGGCCCGGAACTGGTCGGCGTCATGTGCATTAGTATCGTTAGTCTCCTCGGCTGCATCCATCAGATTGGCGCACATTAACAAGTAGGAGTTCGCTGTGTCAGGCATGGTAGGCACACCACGGGCCTCGAAATAGCGCCTGAGCTGAACCTGGGCAGGAGAAAGTCGCACGCAGATGTCAACATTGTCGTTGGATCTCTTCCAACGTCGACACTGCGTCCAGAATGGTCCAGAATGATCTAGATGTGAATTGTTGAGACCCCCACATCGCCAAAGGTGCTGTACACGTCTCGCAGCACTGTCAGGCTACAGCACCTGGAAGTTTGCAGTCAATGACGGACAATCGAAGAGTAGAGTGGAATGGTGGAACATCTACAAGAACAACATAAAATTAAAAGCTAAACATTGAACCCAATTCCAACCAATCAGTACCCACTCCACAAAAAAATACAACACATGTGTGTGTGTGCGCAAAAGAGCCAGCAAAAGCTGCAAATAATCAGGTACCTAGAGGATATGCTGTCTGCGCCTGGGGGGGGCTTACAATTGAGTCTGCAAGCGACAAGGCCACTGTCCCTCGCTGCAGGCACTGACTGCGAGCACACACCCACAAACTTTCACCCACTGTGCCAAGCAAGCCACTGGGCTAGCAGCTCGTTCTTGGGAAGCTCCCAAACACAATCGCTTGCCTTCACTGGATCTGCTAAAGCCTAGGCCACAGCCAGCTTAAATGAATGCGATTGAGCCGTGGTGACATCTGTGCAAGTGGAATATGAAGGCCGAGGCAGAATTTCAACGTATCTTTGCGCATCGGTAAGTGTGCATGCCGTACATGCATCTATACCCAAATATATTTTAATACATTATATATTATGATTACATGTGCAACATGCAGAAATACACCCCTTTGGGCCCAAAGGCGGACGGAAAACAGACAACACAGGATGTGCCCATGGCACATAGCAAGGACAAACAGTGCTTGCCTGGAGTATAGAATGCAAATTATGGACTGTGAAGAGGTTGTTTGACAAAATGAAAAGGAAAGCAAAAATGCACGGCAGGGACTGCAAGTTACAACATACAGAAATGTATTTATATATCTAAATGCTAAATGCAAGCAAACTTGTTCGAGTCATGTGCTTTCATATTTGTGCTCTCATGCGTGTGCTACAGCCCAGCAACGTGTGCAAACAACAAGTATACGATGCGCGTTCACTGTCGACTTGCGCTTGCCCTCAGACAATGTCCTTTTTGTGAGGACCTCGCCTTGTATGAGCATCTCCAGTGCATTATGTAATGGTCCTTGTTTCTGATAGTCTCCTTGTGAAACTTGCCCTTTTCTTCAAAAATGCCTTCTCGATTCTCCCCTGGAATTTTGTGAAGTCTAAGGCATTGCTCATTGAACAAGAGCGTCATGATTGGCAAGATGAGCTCCCAAGCCCAAGCAAAACTACACTGAACAAGCAAACTCCTCTATAAACAATTCTTTCATGGAAATAACGTGTTTGTACGGTGGCTATTTGGTCCTGCTGTCACATTGTTTATCTGCAGCCCTTTTCACCGCACCCTGATTAGCTTTTCATTGCTTTGAAAAGCGAAAACCGATTATTCGGGGGGGAAAACTGACAAGTGTACAGTACTATTCCCGCATTGAGGAAGCCTTGAAGCTTCAACCTTGGATCTTAGATTTAGTTTTGAGAGTTGCCAAACCTTAAAGTTAAGATCCAGGATCGTACGCGTACAATACGGCCAATACGGTACAAGTCCATTCCAGCATTCCAAAGTACAGATACAATCACAACACATGTCAAATTATAGTGATTATTCTTTGCAATGCGTCTTCACCTGACCTGCAGTCAGCGAAGGGGATGAGGAACAAACATGCTTAGCCTACCAATATGAACGCGCACACACACACACAAAACGATACTTGAAATACCTGTAAGAAATCAACATGAGGGGGGTATTCGAGGGGTATTGCCATATATGCAAATATATTTACAGTATCTGCCTGTCTGTCCGTCTGGCTGCCCATCTATCTACATGCTCTAAACAGCATCAACATCTTGTGAATGTAGTAGCATGCACAACATGAAAGGTTGCAAACAAGTCCTACGTTCCTCCAGTTGCAGACAAGTCTGCAGGATCGAAAATAGACTGTCGAAGAAGCCTCTCAGCTTCTTCTGGGTGCCTTGCTTGGCCTGCGCCGTTTTTCAGGTCAACCAGGTTGAAAGGCTGAAATGAACTGTCCCAGCAGACCAATCACGTTACAAGCTGAATCTGAGCTCTGCAAGCGGATCCTGGCTCAGCCGTAGTTTCCAAGGTATCGATATTGACATAGATGCGAGCAAAGTGCGCAGGGGAGCGGCACTGACCTAGCGAGTCTCACAGTGTCACACTTGGGGCTCTTAGGTGCACACTTATGGCAGAAGAATCGAGAAACAGCTGGCCACTTGGTTCACAAACAGCTGGCCCACCAAGAAATCTAGAAACGGCCGACTGCTTGCTGGCGATCAAAATGGTACAGTACAATGTGCCTCGCATCAGCGCCTCCAAAGCAGCAGCAAGGCCTTCTATATCAAGCTGAGCCTGCAAACTATATCTTCGACGGGATGTCTGGACGCTATTGAATCATTTGTCCCTTTTCCTGTTGCTCAACGAATGTGAGCTCTCACTGAGACTTCTTAGCACCTAAGTTTGGAGGTTGGATTGTACAATTCTTCACCTGCCCAATCGAGATGCCAGCTTTAAAAATGCCAACCACTTTGCTGCAGCAAACCTGCTGCATGAATCCTCTACATGGAGCATACATATGATTACAGCATACATCTGTACATATTACAGTACATTATTGCGCATTGGCAGGGTTGCACCAGGGCCCCAACACGTGCGCCCAGGCCGCGCAAGCAGCCCTGTAGCTGGAGGCCACGGCCCTCCGCTGCTCCAAGCTGTGGGAGGTCCAAGTAGAGGCCATTCCTGGGACTCAATCGATTCAGTCCATCAGTTCATGGAAACTATCTGGCCGCTATGGGGGGTTGTGCTTCATGCTTCAAGTTTGCCACTAGCGTCGCTTCCAACCTGCTGTATCTAGCCAAGCTCCACTCTCAGGTATCCGTGCACTCTTGGTGATATATCAATTATATATTATATACGTATACTTATACAATATAGCATGTTTATATATATATATTAATATATAATATATCTTCAATTCTGACCATCTATATAAGTCTATCATTGTCTTTCTCGAGATCCAGGTAATCTCCGCCAGGCTTCAAGGCTGCACCTGCAACCGGCCAGTACACCTGGGTTGAAGGCAGGTAAGGCAGCTTTCAACACTCGGAGAGCTCTGCAAATCTGGACTGCGTGCGCGACTCCGGGGTCGTGCAGCTACACTGCACCTTCGCTTAGTTTCAACAAGGTTCCGCTAGTTTTCTTAGTATCCTCTTGTGATCTTGAATTGCTCAATGTGCTGGCTTGGAATGGACAGCCATCAGAGCTCCAGGTTCAACACTTCAAACCAGCCATCTTGCTGCTGAGCCTCTGAATGCCTTAGGTGCACGAGCACTTGGGCTCTTGGACAAAACTGTAGGACAAAACTGTAGGGTTCCCTGCCACGTACATCCTGGTGTGCACATCTGCAAATACATATGTTGGTAAATAAAGAAGTCTTTGTACAATTCTGTATACGGTACATTGTCTTGCTGCTGTAGGCTCAGGTATTGAATGAGTTGAATCAAAGGAATGACCGGTGCATTTGCTACACAAACTATGACTATGATGCCTTTAAAACTCGTAGAGAGAAACATGTCGAATGAACGTCACAAGCAGGTCACGGAAGGATTGCAAAGAAAAAATCCTGCGGTCTACCACATGAATCACCGCAACATGCTTTTTGAAATCCTCAAGTCTGTCCCATGGAATCATCTGCGTGACATTGTTTGACTATGCCGTGTTTGGTTCCTGTTTAGGCCTGCCTTCTTTTGACAAGCTCGCAATGCTTCTTTTTCTGTGATTGTTTTCTGTCATTTGTTGGTTTTTTTCCCTGGTAGCGCTTCATATGGTGATACAGCGGTACCTGGTGGTTGTGGTTTGGTTGTTTTAGTGAGGTACTTCGGTTTTAGTTTCCTCGCTGGTAACTCACAGCAGCACGGGGCAAGCAACCCTTACCACTGTGAGCAGCGCAGTTTCTTCGCTGGCCACTCACAGCGGCACGGAGCATACAGCCCTGGCCACTGTGAGCAGCATACCTTCTAAGCCGGCCACAAGGGAAAAGGAAAAAATCAAAAAAATAGAAAACACGTTCAAAAGAAATAGCAAACAACATAGAATGATATAATTAGAAGCGGAAAAAACACAGCACCCAAAGCAACAAAAGCCAAAAGCCACAGAAACTAAAGGCTACGGAAGCCACAAGCCACAGAGACAGGTCTCCCGAAACCAAAGCTATAGAAGCCAGAAGCGACAAAAGCCACAAGCCACAGCAGCCCTCGCCCTTCCTTCCTTCCTTCCTTCCTCCCTGCCTTCCTTCCTTCCCAGAAGCCAAAAGCCACAGAAGTTGGACTGCCTCTTCTAAAACTTGTGCTACACTGGAATGGCTCCTAGCCTTTACCTCAATGCTTTGGTAGCTGGCCATAGCTTTGCAAGCTGACCACCTGCAGCAGCACAGCGCACACGACACTGGCACTCCCTCCCTCCCTCCCTCCCTCCCTTGCTTCATTCTTTCCCTCCTTCCCTCCTTCCTTCCTTTCACTTTGCTTTGACAGTGGAAAAAACTTTGAAGAAAAATAACACTATATATATATACAGTTAAAAAACAATACGAGTGCCCGTGTTTGTGTTTAGCCCACCCTCCCATCACTGCGTGGGCGTTGCAGGAAGAGCTCCCGGACTCGTAGCTTTGCCCGCGCCGGCAGCTCGGAGAGCCAAGCGCGATCCGCTGCGTGACACAAGCGCCGGGTCGCATAGCCTTGGCGCGTGGCGTTGCACGAATGTTGGCATCAAACCTTGGTGTTAACAAGAGGTCACAAGGGCTCGATGGCTTTTTTGGTGCATTCAAGTCACATGTGTTCCAGTCTCACTCCTAATGGGGTTGTTTCATTTGCCTT